GCCACGGCTTGTAACGAAATTTTCTTGAGGCGGTCACTATGATCTAACTACGGTAAACAAACAAAACATCATCGATTTAAATTTCGTTAACTTGCGGGCACAAACTAACAAATCACAAAACAGACTGAGGGGAGTTATTGTGTTAACTTGGTCTAAGCCCTGATCTAATCGGACATAGGTCTTCAGAGTTGAATAGATTTTCGTCTTGTGTTGATTCAAATCAAACGATCGCCTCCCCTAACATTTTAAATTACCTCCCTTAACATTTCAAACGTGTGAACAAACAAACCACAACTTGAAATCTTCCAAAGCTAGAGAGTGGCACGCGAGGAGATCGTTGATTGGTCAGTTGGGAAAACGTGAGGAAGGGAGTGTGGAACAAAAATAAAAGGTGGAGTGGTCAGTTGAAGATGACCCCCCATACGTCAAGTGAATCAACGAGATTTTCACACATTTTTCAGCCCCTCGCCCTGGGTATGGCGTGACCTCGTTCGTGATGGACGCTGACAAAGAAAGGTCATTTAGGTCGGGTACATCAAATGATGATTGAGAACCATTGAGGTGTCTATTCTGAATGGTACTGAAGATTGGGGTTCTAACTTGTCGACAGAATGATTGATTTTGTGGCGTTAAGGACTTCGCAGAAAAACGTTCCGCTTGACCGCCTCCCATCTTTTTCTTATAAATTAAAAAAAAAACATAATGGATGTCCTTCAAACTATGCGAACGATTTTGTTGAATAATTTTGGTTTCGACTGTAAATGATATATTGAGATTTTAGATTAGAAGCTGCCTCTAGTACAAAAATACTGGACAGCAAGCAAGTGATATTACAGCTTAGAGGAGTATTGCTGTTTAACAGTAATATTTGATTTAGAGAAAATGATACTTGTTTTATTTTTAAACTGTGTATGTTTGAGGGGGTTGGGGTGATATCTAAACTGTAACACGGTGTTTTAGCCTTATTGTTGCTAAACCACGCCTTCTTCCTTCTTTGGCGATTACAAGTGCATATACTCGCCACGCCCATACGAGTGTTTCATACCATCGATACAACAATACTGATCTTCCTGTTTATATATGTGATACAACATTATGTACCAAATACGTAATCTGCTGTTATGTTTATCACAACCCCCCCCCCCCCCCCGTACGCTGACACAGATGGGCATGGGGGTGGGGGAGGCGTTGTTCCCCAGACTTGTCATTGTCTTAAGTTGATGTGGTGACCGCGTGGTGACACAGTGGTGACACAAGTAGCTGGTGAATCATGGCGACAACAACGGTACTTGTAGTATCTGTCCACACCGGCCCCTCCAGCCAATCAAATCTGTCCAGGCCGGCCCTCCAGCCAATCAAATCTGTCCAGGCCGGCCCTCCAGCCAATCAAATCTGACATCATTGACGTCATAGGAGATACGCCGTTAGGGATATGTAATTATCATGGATATGTAGGCCCCTAATTATCCTGGATATGTTATTAACATTGAACATGGATATGTAATCATCAAGCCGTGGTTTGTCGTTAGGGATTGCTGTGACGGGGAATTTATAAATGTTTTAATTTTTTACCTCCACTTTAAACTTACAAAGTGGCGTTCTATTAATAAATGACATTGGAGTTAATATTCCCCTTATCCACATTCGTAAACTTATTTTTACTGTATAAACTTAGGCCTTCGTTTTTGTGGCATGGAAAAAAAGGGGAGGGGTGGTGATCTTATGGGGCAGTTCGCTGGTAGCTTATTATGTAGCATATATGAAATAGTTATGACGTTAACTTCTACTCTATTGCAAAACACACCTTAATTCACAAATTTATGAAGAATGAGGGTGTCCTTAAAAAAACGTGATGTGCAACAATAATAACAATATTAAAAAGTCAAACATGGTAATAATAATAACGATAACTCACTTTATTCGTGCGTTGGATCAGTGAATAGAAAAAAATGAGATAATTGACTTGGTGACTCCTAAATGTAATAATCAGCACATCTGCTGACCCGTTCAATGAAAGTGATTTCTGGACAGAGCAAGGGCGTGGTCTCTAGCAGGCCTTGGGCTCGAACCCACACCTCTCTTGTACACATACCTGATGATAACAACCAGTGACTCATCGTCGCCATTATCGTACTGATGCAATCGGAATACGTTTCTCCCATAGTACTATTTCACGACATTTTAGAGGTCAGGATCAGCATAGTCTACCCCCCCCTCACTAATTTAAAAGTCTACCCCCCCCCCCACTAATTTAATAGAGTCAGTCTACCCCCCCCCCCCACTAATTTAATAGAGAGTCTATCACCCACTAATTTAGAGAGTCAGTCTACCCCCCCCCCCCCCCCCCACTAGTTTAATAGAGTCAGTCCATAATGGAGTCAGTCTATCTTTTACTAATCAGTCAGTCTATCCCCCCCCCCCCCCCCTTTACACACATCTAAGAGTCAGTCCTCTCCCTCTAGTTTAACATGACAAAGTCACATTTTGCCCCGCTGATTAACAAGTGAGAGACTCTAGACCCCCCCTCCCCCTCAAGTAAATTGCCTGTGAAAGCGCTAAACATCTAATATAGATCTATCTTACGCCCGCTTCATTTTTCCGTCATGTTCGTGTAAGATTCACCCATCCGTGGCATTTTTCAAAGCTTATCTGTTTATTAACTACTTCAAAGCCACCCAACCGTGTCGACACAGATGACTGAGCTAAAATGACTATTTTTAAACACTGCAATTAAAACAACAATCCAACCGACGCAAATATGTGCAGCGATGAGTCGGACTGAATCACTGGCAGATTTAAGCAACATTCCACGGGGGGTTGAAAAAAAATGATGAAATTATTTTGTTCGAAACAAAGACAGGATGTGATTTGGGATTGTTCAGCTGTGTAGTTAAGTAAAAGGAAGGAAGAAGGTCTGAGAGGAGGGGGGCGAGGGGGGGGGGGGGGGATGATACATGTCGTGCGGATTTTTTCCTCTCTAAGTATCTATAATGTCTGTATTGAGCGACAAAAACCTAGAGTGTCACGGAAACATGTAGATCTACATGTCGTTGAGGTTGCAAGTTTAAAGGTCAAAGGTTGCCCATAAAAATATGAGGTTCGGCTTATTTTTTTTTTAAATGTAAAAAATAATTTTTCACGCTTCACCAAGAGAGAACAGACGAGAGCCCTGCCTTTTTTTTTTTAAATAAATTTTCTGACCGAAATACCAACAATCCTATCCTCACCCCTCTACTGAAAAACTCCCTCCCCTATAAAGAAAGACCCACATCTTCTAAAAGAGGCACATCGTCATCTCCCCAATGTCATATTTTATACGTCACCTACAATGTCCATAAAAACTGAAGACGCTTTAAAGATCCAAGAAAATTGGCCTACACGAAGTAAGAAAACAAACACCGATAAGAATCGCCTTTGAAGTCTTGTACCCAACTTATCATCCCTCCACGGTTCATTGGATTTGTTTTTCACCCCAGCTCCGCTCCCAGTTTTATAATTGTTGTCCTTATATCGCATAACAACACATTAAAGTATTTTGTTTGAACGCACAATCCAGCACCGTCGCGCGACAAAGGACACGTGGGGCGGGGGGTGCAAACCCCACCCTGGGAGTGACGCCACTAGACATACAGCCCGTTCATCAAACAGAACAAAGGTAATGCCTCGCGCTTGTTTGCTGAAAAAAAAATAAGTGCGCATGCGTAAAAAGGGTGACGCATTTGGGCAGATTTCAAAATAATTACCGGAAATGAATTATTTGGGTTTTACCACCGGTCAACAAAGTGATTCAAGTTTATTATATTATGCTACATCAAACCAACCCTAGTGCTCTATATACCAGAACTGGAAATACTTAATATGCAGTACCTTATTTCTACTTTTAGTCGTTAGTGGTAGCTAATACTAAGCTAGATAAAAGTATCAATACTTTATTTTCTATTAATTTATATTTCTTTCTTTTCGCACAACCATCGAGTCACCAATGGAGAACTTATAAGTGCGCCGGTGCGGGGAAAAAAACGCGAATGGACTCCCCACTTAAGCCCCCCCCCCCCCCCCCCCCCCAAAAAAAAAAAAGCTTGCATTGTGTAGTTTTCAAAACATTTAGAAATTCTGGAATCGCTTACAGCACTAACGATCATTAAATCCCCCTAGATTTTTACCCCCGTACCTCTACTGATCCTGGGATTTGTGGAACTATTGGTCTGTCTACTCCATGTGTCTCGTTAACAACAAACGCTGACTTTGGACATGTCTCCGTAATGTCAAAAACGAGGTTATCTCCCAGAACTTGACCTACAAGGTGAAACACAAACTGCAGACGATGAACGATGTTGATCGTCTGCCAGGGACGACGTGTATCTGGTCAGACAACCCGGCAACATGTCTCTGGCGTACATCGCCGTCACGTATCTGGCCCATCTCCTATGACAACAGCGTTGTAGCGGTGTGTCTAATTACCGCAAGACACGAAAAAACACCACCGTGCAGACATAACAAAGAACCCACACTAATTCATTCGCTTCGCTGCGGAAACAAGCTCAGTTTATTTATTCATAATTCCCCGGTCATGATGAATGCCTGTAAATTTATGTTTTACCATGATACACCATTCGACTTTAGCTATTATCAGTGTTTCTTTCAGACTTTTTTCTCCTGGGGGGGGGGGGGCACTTGATATTTTCGGGAGGGGCGGACACTAGTAAAAGTGTATGATTACTATAATTACTATAAATTCTATCTCGTTCGGGGGGGGGGGGGGGGGGGGGAGGAGGAAGGGGACGGTAGACTTTCTTCGGGGGGGGGGGGGGGGGGATGCCTGGAAGAAACTCTGGTTATTATCTAAGCTTACAATAGTTATTAACAACCTTTATTTATTATATCCTAAATTTATTTTGTTATATATAGACCAATATATAGGGATATATATATATATATATATATATATATATATATATATATATATATATATATGTAACACATATGGTTACGAGCCAAAGGGGGATAAAACTATGAAGTTTTTATTCATTGGGTTGCGGCCCCTGTGGGACTGCAACTGAACTGTTGACGTTTTTTTATGCTTTTGTGAGCGAAATTACCTGTGTTCCATGTCATGTGACATGTGCCTAGCCGTGTCGCACACGCAAGGCTGCTGTCTGTGGACCAAGATGTAGACCTAATGAAGGTAGTGTAGATATTTAAATTATGTTTGTTAAAATACTTACTTATGTATTCCTGCTAGTGCTGCATGTGCACACTAGTTAGGGTGATGTATTAAATTAAGTATTTATTTTGTAGTACTACTTATTGGTACTTGTTGGCAGTACTGTGTACTGGCCGAAAACATAATTTATTGTACCCGTGTATATTGTAGCTTACACGTGGTGTTGTCCTGAATGTAACTTTTTTATTTTACATTTGTTTTAGGGCTACAGTTCTTGTTTCTTTCTTTCCTTTTTGGATTGTTTGGTCTATCTTGGCTAGTTCGTTTTGTGTTGCATCGCCGTCATGGCTCGATGCTGTAAATAAACGAGTACTGGACAACAACTGTCGGTGTCGGTGTATACTTAATCTCAGGGTCAGCCCGTCTTAACCACAACACCTCAGTGGGTAAAAGCATCCCCACTGAGTGAGGGTTACATTTGGCGCCCAACGTGGGGCTTGACCTTGGGAGATAGGATGGAAGACAGCGACCCGACGTTGGAGAAGTTGTCGCAGGAGCTGGCCAAGTTGACGGCTAAGATGGCGGCGATGCAGGCAGATGCGCAGCGGCCCGTGAAGGTGGAGGTGTGTGCTCCAGCACACAACAGCAAGCTGAGTGTGTTCACCGGCCTTCCACCCACTGGAGGAGGGGAGGTGAGTTTCCCGGAATGGGAAACCCAAGTTCAATGCTTGCTGCGGAACACCAGCGTTCCGAACCCGTTGCCACGCGTCTTAGGCAGCCTGAGAGGGATTGCCTATGAGCGGGTGAAGCAAGCTGCGAGTCCAGAGGAAGTGCTATGCCTCCTACAAAGCACTTTTGGCGACACCAGATGTGCCGAAGACAGGTATCTGCAGTTCAGCCGACTCACTCCACATCCAAGGGAGTCAGCGTCGGAATTTCTCTGCCGACTGTGGTCAGAGATGACGAAGCTAAACCAGCAGCGTATCTTTACTGAGGCCGATGCCCAGAAGAAGGTGTATCACACTTTCTGCAAGGGGGTTTCACCTCTTCTGGCGCTCGAACTTCGCGGCACATTTGGTTTCGCAGGGGAAGCCAGTCCGAAGGTGGAGGACGTTCTGAAAGCTGTTAAAAGGCTGGACGGGTCAGCTGAGTCCCCAGTCGTAGCCACGGCAGCAGCTAACAGGACTATCCAGGTCGACGCAGTAACGGCAGCTGTTCACCAAGAGACGACGCCGCCGCTGATGCTCAAGGAGGAACAACTCGACCGTCTGGCGGAGAAGGTCGACGCAGTAACGGTAGCTGGTCGCCAAGAGACGACGCCGCTGATGCTCACGGAGGAACAACTCGACCGTCTGGCGGAGAAGGTGGCAGATATCCTAGCCCGGAAACAACAGCCCTCCAGAGGAGCTTGTTACGGGTGCGGGTCCACGAAGCACTTCGTCCGCGACTGTCCGAGAAAAGCAGCTAGGCAACGGGGTCAGCAGCAGGGAAACGCCAGTCGATCAGCGTCGGGGAGCGGATGCTGATGCGTGTTCTGCCAAGCTCCCAGCCCAAGTTTACACCACCGAGATCATCACAGTGTCGAGCAACCACAGCTCAGGTTACCTCGCCTAACGGCTGGAGGTACGGCTGTCGGGTGTTCCGCCGTGGAGGAGGGTTGCAGCCGGAGGGTGCGCGTGAGAAGGGTAGACAGCCACACTATGAATGTCAGTCTCAGCGCGAGCAAGATCGACGCTTGGGAGACAGACATGACACAAGCAGAGGTCGGAGACGCCGCCGGAGGAGAGGCCGACGACGTGGTGGACGCCGCCGTGGTTGGCAGCGACCCGACTATACAATGTCGAGTGCTGAACCCACTGTGGCGGAGGGGGAGCGACGGAGAGAGGTCATCCCAACCAGTGAGGCAGATGAAGGTGAGGAACTGACAATCAAGGTGGTAGTCCCAGCCAGACTTCGGCCGGAGGCAATGCCTTTCGTGCCAGAGGTGGTCGCCCGGGACGGGCAAGACAAGGAGATGGTCAGGCCAGCCCCACATCTGGATGAGGTGAATGCGAGGGACGAGGCATCGGACGAGGATGACTCTTGGATCAACCCAGAACCACCAGCGGAGCTGCGGAGGTCAACCCGTCAACGACGACCCGTCGAGCGACTCAACCTGGCGCATCAAGTGGTGACCAGTACCAGCACTGGAGCCTCTACCGGTTTGCCGGGAATAATCTATCTGAGTTGAAAGGACTTAATGTCTGTGTACTTGTGTACTGAACTTTTTTTTAAGTATGAGTTGTAAATGTAAATGTAAATGTGAATTCCATTGTACATTTATTTGTGAGGGGGGCTGTGTAACACATATGGTTACGAGCCAAAGGGGGATAAAACTATGAAGTTTTTATTCATTGGGTTGCAGCCCCTGTGGGACTGCAACTGAACTGTTGACGTTTTTTTATGCTTTTGTGAGCGAAATTACCTGTGTTCCATGTCATGTGACATGTGCCTAGCCGTGTCGCACACGCAAGGCTGCTGTCTGTGGACCAAGATGTAGACCTAATGAAGGTAGTGTAGATATTTAAATTATGTTTGTTAAAATACTTACTTATGTATTCCTGCTAGTGCTGCATGTGCACACTAGTTAGGGTGATGTATTAAATTAAGTATTTATTTTGTAGTACTACTTATTGGTACTTGTTGGCAGTACTGTGTACTGGCCGAAAACATAATTTATTGTACCCGTGTATATTGTAGCTTACACGTGGTGTTGTCCTGAATGTAACTTTTTTATTTTACATTTGTTTTAGGGCTACAGTTCTTGTTTCTTTCTTTCCTTTTTGGATTGTTTGGTCTATCTTGGCTAGTTCGTTTTGTGTTGCATCGCCGTCATGGCTCGATGCTGTAAATAAACGAGTACTGGACAACAACTGTCGGTGTCGGTGTATACTTAATCTCAGGGTCAGCCCGTCTTAACCACAACACCTCAGTGGGTAAAAGCATCCCCACTGAGTGAGGGTTACATATATATATATATATATATATATATATATATATATATATATATATATATATATATATATATATATATATGACTCGGGACATAATGTTTTTGTTTTGTATTAGTTGTGCGTGCACGTACATCCGTCTACTTTTTGTACCTGTCAGGTGAGTAACATCCGATGTCAGGTAAGTTTGTACCTGCTAATTTAGTCTCGATCAGCAGGCGAGACATTGTCGGCTGCTCGGTTGACCGTAGCGGAGCGCAGACGACAATCCGCCTTTTGCGACAGCAGAACCACCGGCAGTTTAAAAAAGGGGCGTGTCAGTCGCGTCAAAAAACGGATTGAAGCTGCCAGCAGACAACATAGAAGCAGACGATGGCTAGCAGACGACACTACTGGGTGGTCTTATAACCGACACGTGAAATAAAAAATTAACATTTTAAAATTTAAACTTCTAGAAAAATCCTCAAGATTATAAGAACTAGTTAAACGTTTAGGTAAAGATCTGAATCTTGAGGTAACCTTACGCCCAGCGGTGAGGTATGGGGAGTTTAGATGTTTAAACAAGGCTATGAATGCCAAGGCAAGATGCTAAATGTGATACCAACATGTAACACGGTTCACCATTCACATCTGAATGTATCAATTATCACGTGTGGTCCCTTTTAGCTCCGTATATAGGTCAACATTGGAATATGTAAAGGATTTTTAAAAAAAAAACTTTGGTAATCCCCCCCCCCACCCAAAACATCCACGTCCTACTTTACTGCTCTAGAGAATACCAAACAGAAAACCCTAACCTAATCAAACCCTAACCTAACCTAATTTAACCCTAATCTAACCTAATTTAACCCTAACCTAACCTAATTTAACCCTAACCTAACCTAATTTAACCCTAACCTAATTTAACCCTAACTTAACCTAATTTAACCCTAACCTAGCCTAATTTAACCCTAACCTAATTTAACCCTAACCTAACCTAATTTAACCCTAACCTAACCTAATGTAACCCTAACCTAACCTAATTTAACCCTAACCCAACCTAATTTAACCCTAACCTAACCTAATTTAACCCTAACCTAATTTAACCGTAACCTAACCTATTTTAACCCTAACCTAACCAAATTTAACCCTAACCTAACCTATTTTAACCCTAACCTAACCAAATTTAACCATAACCTAACCTAATTTAACCCTAACCTAACCTAATTTAACCCTAACCTAATTTAACCCTAACCTAACCTAATTTAACCCTAACCTAACCAAATTTAACCCTAACCTAACCTAATTTAACCCTAACCTAACCTAATTTAACCCTAACCTAACCTAATTTAACCCTAACCTAACCAAATTTAACCCTAACCTAACCTAATTTAACCCTAGCCTAACCTAATTTAACCCTAACCTAACCTAATTTAACCCTAACCTAACCTAATTTAACCCTAACCTAATTTAACCCTAACTTAACCTAATTTAACCCTAACCTAGCCTAATTTAACCCTAACCTAATTTAACCCTAACCTAACCTAATGTAACCCTAACCTAACCTAATGTAACCCTAACCTAACCTAATTTAACCCTAACCCAACCCTAATTTAACCCTTACCTAACCAAATTTAACCCTTACCTAACCAAATTTAACCCTAACCAAATTTAACCCTTACCTAATTTAACCCTAACCTAATTTAACCCTTACCTAACCAAATTTAACCCTTACCTAACCAAATTTAACCCTCACCTAACCAAATTTAAACCTTACCTACTCCTATGAAGACCTCACCGTTCAGGAACTTTCAGTTTCCTGGTCACCTGCGTGATTATCACAAGGGGAGATCAGCCGTTAGTCACACAGCGATGAGACAGAATAAGTCATTACAAAACTCAAGGACACACTTAATTACTGTGTCTAAAATCTCATTAGCCTTAATTAATCCTAGTAAACGTCTGTGGATGTAGAAATTATTGCCCCACCCCTCCCCCAAGACAAGCAAGGTAGACAACAGTGTGTTGGTATGGAAGATTGCAGAAAAAAAAAATCACAGGAAAAAAGTCACAGAAAAACAGTCACAAGAAATAAAGTCTCAGGGGGAAAAACCCCTCATATGTATTTGCATGGGAACTCGAACCACAACCCTAAGTAACAAACCTCAATGTCTTATATATATATATAATTTTTTTATGTTTATCTGGATTATCTTTGCTAAAACAAACACAAACCGTTGTTTAGTAGAAAGATTCTCTTTAAAAAAATGTGACGAATATTCACTCACGCATTCATAATGACCTTTACTTACTTTTCCCTAGATCGTGAAGGGCTCTAGATCTATATCAGATGATTAGCTTTCATTTGATTAAAATAAATTACACGCTCATTACTGACTCAACGCATCGTTATTATTTTTTTTCCTAAGAGAAGACAACTCTGAGGTCACACGAGTTACAGTTCGCAATATCAAGTGGCTGATTAATTGCCCCTTGACTGAAGTGCATCGTAACGAGAGAGGTTTTTTCGTTGGCTGATGGACCGCATGTGGTGTCGTTGTTTTATGTAACACGCGTTTTGATTGGTTGTGAGAGGTCTATTCCTGATCATTGCTAGGCTGAGTGTGCCAATGTCAAGGTCACGGCTATGACAGCTGAGAGAAATTTAATTTAGGATGTTTGAAATACAATTTTATACATTAACAAATTCTTTTATCTGACGCTTAAAATTAAATAAACTGTGTATCCATAATGTAAACATTTTGGCTATTAGTACATATAGGCCTATCCTAATGATTGAAGAACTGTTATTTAATTCATTATTGATGGAATGATTAATTATATAAAGCCCCCTTAGCAGTATGATAACAAAAATTAACCGGCTATGCAGCTAAGGTTAGGATTTGGCCTTAGATGGATCAGTGTAGTTCCAGCTCAAGGATTATGGTTAACGTTAGGGCTGAGCTTTATCAAAAAGTAATTGTATCAATATTATCAGAAAAAATAGATTCACTAAGGTTATAAAAAGGTTACTGGAATAAAGGATAAAAATAATTTCATACAATAACCTTCTGTCAGCTTATCGTTTCGTACCAGCTTTAATTATATATTATATATATTAGACCGAAAATATGAGAAGGATAGATATTTCGGTAGGTTAATTATCCATAAAGTGAATATTTCCCAGTTTTTTAAAAGGGATGTACTTTTAAACAACAAAACTAAAAATAAATTCGAGGCACTAATTTCAACACAGACTCGGAAATGATCACGTGATTTTGTTTACAAACAGATCCTTGTGTATGCTAGTCGATGATACAACAAGGATATTAAAACAACTATCTGAGCGTATCTACCTACACATATTCTAACATGATTCAACATGACTATCTAGTTGTACCTGGTTGAATCTGCCCATACATATTTTAACATGACACGACATGGATATTAAAACACAACTATCTGGCCGTATCTACCTACACATATTCTAACATGATTCAACATAACTATCTAGTTGTACCTGCTTGAATCTGCCCATACAAATTTTAACATGACACGGCATGGATATTAAAACCCAACTATCTGGATGTATATGCCCACATATAATCTATTATGACACGACATGGATATTAAAATAAACCGGGAGCGATCTCCCCGAAACTTTCTCGAATATCCTTATATAAAAAAAACAGGGGATGGGAACTCGGGATATAGACAAGAATTTTAATCCATTAACAATACTTAAACTTTTTAAAATAGAATAAAATCTCGTAGAAAAAAGAATTGCACACCTGTAAACGCCAAATAAAATGTGCATGATCGTGTGGAATATTATTAGTACTTTGTAAATTTATATTAGTTTTTTGAGAAATCGGAAATAGCGTAAATTAGTACTTCCGATCAACGGAAATTACTCAAAATTTGAAAGAAGGTATAGAATTAGATCTTTTACTTACATGTGAAATTTCATTTATCTATCTGAAATAGTACTCATGTTATACGCTTTTGAAAAATTCAAAGTAGAAAAAATACCACTTCCGGTTATCGGAAATCGCTCAAAAGTTGAAACGGATCTATAATTTTGATATAATACTTATATATGAAATTTCATCAACCTAACTGTAACGGTACTCAAGTTATCGTGTTTACACACACACAGACACACAGACACACAGACATACGGACGTAATTGCAAAGTCCAGTTTTTCCGAATCGATAACGCATAAAACGCCAAAATGTTTATATATTTGTATTTATAATGTTTGCCTGATTAAAATAAGTCCTCTATACTCCGGATGTGATGAAGGACTGAGGAGGTGAAAACTGTCAAAATTTCATGTTATTTTTGTGCACAATTACAATACTTTCTATATACTTCGTATATACGAGAAAGTAAAAATCAGAAAAAATACTTTTTTACTTTCTCGTATATACGAAGTATAGAGAAAGTATTGTAATCGTGCACAAAAATCACTTGAAATTTTAACAATTTTCACCGTATTACACCTCAGTCCTTCATCACATCCGAAGTATAGAGGACTTATTTTAATCGGGCAAAAATTATCAATCCAGATTTATCAAAATTAAGAGGTTTTATGCGTAATCCAGTCTGAAAAACTGGGCTTTGCAATTCTGTCCGTATGTCTGTGTGTCTGTGTGTGTGTCCGTGTGTAAACACGATTACTTGAGTACCGTTATAGCTAGGTTGATGAAATTTCATATATAAGTATTTTATCAAAATCGTAGATCCGTATCAACTTTTGAGCGATTTCCGATAACCGGAAGTGGTACTTTTCCTACTTTGAATTTTTCAAAAGCCTATAACTTGAGTACTATTTCAGATAGATAAATGAAATTTCACATGTAAGTAAAAGATCTAATTCTCTACCTTCTGTTAAATTTTGAGTAATTTCCGTTGACCGGAAGTAGTAATTTACGCTACTTCCGATTTCTCAAAAAACTAATGTAAATTTTTAAAGTACTAATAATATTGCGCGCTATTGTACACTTTTTTATTTGGCGTTCACTAGTTCACTTGGCGTGCAATTATTTTGTCTACGAGATTTTAATCTATTTTTAAAACTTTAAGTATTTAAAATGGATTAAAAATCATGTCAATAGCCCGAGTTCCCATCCCCTGTTGTTTTATATAAGAATATTCGAGAAAGTTTAGGGGAGATCACTCCCGGTTTATTTTTTTCACAAATTAAAAAATTTTCACAGGAGCTTATAGTGAAGTCACATAAGGTAACACTAAAATAATTAGGTTCTACCTATGATATATATTATTGTTGATCGTCTGTAATAAATTTACTCATACCCATATGGGTTATTTACTATTAGTTGTACCTTACTCCCGGTAGAGGCGGTTGAATTTTATTTTTTATTTACTGATTGTTGTTAGTATAAACGGTGCAATTAATCAACTACCGTTGACAGTCGGTTAGAACTGCTTGAAATCTGTTTCGATCCAGACAGAAAGTCAAACAGAAAAACAGATGGATGGAAAGAAAAGAACAACAAACTAAGGTAGCAAAATAAATAAAAGCTGGTAAAAATGTAATATTGCCTTTAAGAAATTGCACACCGCTCAAATTAAAAATAAAACTATTATTGCCGCACTTTTTTTGATTCAGTGCCTGATTGTCTATATTGTACACGTTAGTTACTTCCGAAATAGAAAAAAAAAATCATCGATTCTGTTACGGATGAATAAAAGTAGGTTAACGTTATTTTAATTGTTTTTAAAACGTTAGAAATATATCTTGCTTTGAAAATCTATGTCTAATAGTAAGAATGTATTATTTTTATTCTTATTTATGTTTGCACTATTTCATTTAAAACTATTCAAAGCTTATAAATGATTACCTTGTTTAGCGTACGTATTAATGTTCAGCCAATAAATAATTCCTATGCAAGTGCTAAATATTTATGACATGTTTACTTTAGGAATGTTTCCATCATGACGTCATCAGAGATATGTGTTAATATGGTCAAGTGTTTGGAGAATGTCTGGAGTGATCAAATGTTGTTTGACTTTGTGGTTAAGATCGCAGACGAAACTATCGAATGTCATCGGCTAATCCTAGCTGCATGCTCGGAATTTTTTAAGGGCCTCTTCCGTTCCGGCATGCGAGAAGTCACGGAGAATTGTGTTGTATTGGAAGATATTTCCAGTGACGTATTTAAGATCATTCTGAAAATTGTATACACAGGTTCTAATCTGTTGACTTTAGAAAATAATTTTGAAGTCTGGCGCGCGGTTCATCAGCTACAGATCCCATTTTTAGTGAATTTGTGCGAGACTTTTGCTATAGAAGCACTTACAGTAGATACTTGGGGCAATATTTACACAAATGCTAAACTTTTAGATTCGAAAAGAGTTCTTAAAGGGCTTCAAACTTTCATGTTAAAAAACTTTGAACAAGTCAGTCTTTCAACAACATTTCTGCAAATGTCTTTCAGTGAAGTTCGTGATTTGATACAGAGTCAAGACCTCGTAGTTGCTAGTGAGGATATAGTCCTAGAGTCTGTGATAAGATGGGTCGGTTTTATACCTCATAGTGAGCTTAACAGAAACAACGTTTTGGAAACTCATTCTAAACCTAATATGAACGGAAATGATCCAATTACTGAAACAACATTGGTTGATAAAAATCACGGCGACATTACAAAAAGCATTGAAGAAAATAACACAAATGCTATAATTGAGGCAAACTCTATTATTGAAACAAATCCCGAGTTGAAAGATTACCGTAGTGATAAGTCTCGTGATATTCTACCTGACTATTCTTCTAGGAAAGATAAACTTACAGAGTTGTTGCAGCACGTGAGGACGTGTCTTGTAAGTCCATCTGTTTTATCTCATGTCTACAAAATGAAAATCATTTCTGAAAGTAATGTGTTAATGAATATTATATTTGATGCGATATACTATGTTCAAAACTTTAGACACGGTCAGTGGCCAACGGCTGCTATCCAACGATCTTGTAGTAAATATTTTGAAGCTGGAGTACTCGAACAAAACGATGGTGAATTTACTGTGCTAAACGTACTCGAATACAAATTGTATGATATTCCAAAATGTAAATTTCTACAAGAAAATGTTCAGCTCGTCTCTTTTGACGGTGAACTTTTTGCTACAGGGAGGCAACTCAACCAACCCAATGGACCTTGTAAACTTTTTGTATTTTGCGACAAATACTGGTTGGAGGTTCTGTCAATGCCAGGACCGAATTTGCTCTTGTTGTCACATGATCAATTTATTTACATTTTTAACAAGGACAATCAAATCATTTACAGAATACAGCCAAAGCAAAAACTACCTATTTTAGAAACGTTTACACTGCTCCCGAAAAATGCTGAAATTAAACATTCGATGAACTTTGAAAAGTTTATTTTAATATTTTGCTCTGAAACTGACAATGGCATAGACAAAACAGCTGTCCATAAATTAGATATTTCATCCAAAATTTGGACTAAATTAGCCATCCTGGATGGAGCAGCTGAACACATAATTAGTTTCAAGAACGATAACTACTGCTATGTTTTACAAGCCGACGGATGTTTGTGGACTATTTTAAATTCAAATTCAAACTCGATCATTGAACTAAAATTTGTTTTAAAACTTTGGAATATACAAAAAATCTTATACGGCGCTTTGGCATACAGGGACCTACTTATTATTGGATTTGATTGCCCGAGTCCTTCAACAATACACGTGGATAGAGTAAAAATAGTTCCTGGACACTTTCAAGAGATAAAATACTGGACATGTAAAGATAAATGTTCAAATTTAATTCCTATCACATTACCGAAAAAGTATATATCTTAAACTTACTGCTTAGGATTGTTTCCAACTTATACTTGACTGTTTAATTTACCTCTTTTAAAACAAGAGATTGATCCTCTAAGATGTCATTTTTACTCATCAGTTATATCTATACCATTTTTATGAAATAAAGCTGCATCTTTAAATTTAGTTAAAACAAATATCAAAATAATAAAATTAAATAATTTCTATAGTAAGACAAGCAGATTTTTTTTTTTTACTTTAAATTTTGTAATGAAATTAAACTTTTACATTTTTTTTAGATATATCTTACAAATAAACAAAAAGTTTTTGCTTATTCAAGAAACAGCTGGTGGCAACAATACGTGATAGGTGAACCATGTGTATTTACCCAAACAGGCCTACTGTAATTTGCATGTTAGTAATTTAAAAACATCTTTAACTGGTGATTTGAATAACACCGTGTATTAGTGATACAAATATAAATATTGGGGCATTTTGTGTAGTTAAATCTATAACTTTTTCAGTTTAAATTAAAAAAAATATTTTTCCAATTTGTTGAATTTAGAGAAGAGGTAGCCTGTCGTATTATTGATGTTTTTTAAAAATCAAGTCGAATTGTTACAGATAGATTGTCTCTGTTAGCTGGACTTAGACTTGTGTTTATCGTCGCCTGGCATTTGAGTCGTTTTACACACAAAAACACTTATATTTATAAAATGTATTCTAAATGCATTCAATTCTTTAAATACATTTTAAAAAGTTATATTTACCAGAACAGAATATTTACAACTGATTGTCTGCGAATGTCAAAAACATGCTTTTAATAGATATCATTATATCAATTGTTTCATATATTTATACATCAAAACATGTAAAAATAAATACTTGTTTAAAATGCTTTAAGTGTGATGCATACTATCTTCTTTGATATAATTACATACTTATATATATATATATATATATATATATATATATATATATATATATATATATATATATATATATATATATATATATATATATATATATATATATATATATATTGTTCTAGTTTGATAACTGTTGATTTAATCTCAATATTTTGTAGAATACGTCACAGTGTTGTTTATACGGACCGATAACATAATGTTATTTTTTATCATTTGTAATTAGATATACTAAACACTCTATTTTATATTTCTCCAGTTTGTACACACATTTTTATTACATAGAATGTGCAGCAAATTACTTTATAATACCACTTCCTCAGGGGTATGAGAGTAATGCTCAACTACTGAGGGTTATTCCGAGTAGGGGCTAATCCTGAGATATAAAATAATTCACAATGTACGTGTTGAGCCAAATGCAATTTCTTTTGGAATAAAAAAAAATTGCCTAGTCACTGAAAATGTTAACTAAATTCGTTTAACTTTAAGTCCGACAAAAACCTTGCAATTGAGTTTTTATAATCATACTTATTTTTATACCACCTAATACGATTTTAAAAATAATATTTCTATTCATATTTCAAACTTTAGTCACTGTATTTAGCCACTGAATATACCAAAGCCAGATATCTGTAGTTCTGCAAATCCACACAATTTGGTTTTTCATAATCCCACTTTTTGTAACACCGCGTCGGATTTAAAAAAAAAAAGAAAAAAAAATCAAGAATGTGCACACAGTTCAAAATAAATATAAATCTATTAGTATTATTGTCGCATTTATTATGATTCAGTGCTAGACTATCCATAAACATGAAACAAGGTGTATATTAAATTACTTAGAGGTTAACGCTTTTAATTAAAAAAAAAGTTACATTATACCTTGTTTTGGCAATTCATTTCTAGTAGTACGAATGTATTACGGTTATTCTTACTTATGCTTGTACTGCTTAAATAAAAAAAAAACTAAAGCTTCTTAAAAAAACACATGCATTATGTATGGATTATATCAATGTTCACTTAATAAATAAACCGGGAGTGATCTCCCCTAAACTTTCTAGAATATTCTTATATAACTTGGAATATAGACATGATTTTTAATTACTTAAACTTTTAAAAATAGAATATAATCTCATAGTAAAAAGAATTGCGCACCAAGCGAACGCCAAAACAAAATGTGCATAATAGTGCGCAATATTATTTAAAACAGTTTTTTGAGAAATCGGAAATAGCGTAAATTAGTACTTCTGGTCAACGGAAATTACTCAAAATTTGACAGAAGGTAGAGATGTAGATCTTTTACTTACAAGTAAAATTTCATTTATCTATCTGAAATAGTACTCAAGTTATAGGCTTTTTAAAAATTAAAAGTAGAAAAAGCATCACTTCCGGTTATCGGAAATCGCTCAAAAGTTGATACGGATCTACGATTTCGATAAAATACTTATATATGAAATTTCATCAACCTAGCTGTAACGGTACTCAAGTTATCGTGTTTACACACAGACAGACACACACATACACACACACACACACAGACACACAGACATACAGACAAGATTGCAAAATTATGTTTTTCCGTATCAGTGAGGTGTAAAACGTCGAGATTTGCAAAAATCTCGATTTTTTTTTTGCACGATTACAAGACTTTCTCTATACTTTGTATATCCGAGAAAGTAAAAAAAAAGTATCTGGCTCTATCTGCCTACATATAATCTAACCGGCACCCAACCGTGTTCTTACAATTCAAATATCAACAGTCCTTACATACAATATAGCCACTATACAATTGCTCACACAATAGGCCGCCATATAGTTAAAGTGGGGGAGCGACTTTAAATATTGATGCCCCCCCCCCCCCCCACACACACACATAATCTAAAGTACTGCATTACTCCTAGTCTTAAATAAAACAAACAAACCATTTAGTGAAATAACTTTATGATCAATGGCAAACAAGGGAAACCAATTCATTGAAAATGTTATAAATAAGGATCGGGTTTTAAGGAGAGGATTAAGACATGAATGCAGGCTAAGTTTGAGTCAACAGGTCATATGGCACACAATATTTTGGCACGCAATACTTAATTGTGTTGGAGGGAAAATACAGAAGTTGAACTTGTAGATTGATCCCATCCAATGCTACAATTAAGAAAGAAGAAGAAGAAAACAAAACTCTCTAGAAGGGCCGTCGTAATAATACAACTGACAGCTTTTGACTAGCAGAAATGAAAAGCATCCTAGTCGATCTTTAGGTCATCCCGACCCCTGTTCCGCCTCTGGAAGGTCATCCAACATGGGCTCAGCAAGGTCCCCCAACACGACAGTGAGTGAGGCGTCAGTGTTCAAACTGCTCAGGCTTTGGGTCACGTAGACCTGGATGGACGGCTGCAGTTGCGGGTCACAGGCCGGGGTCAAGGTCACTGTAAGGTCAAGGTGGAAAAAAGTAATATATCACTACACAGTAATGAATAAAATACTCTAATACGAGTTAATCCATTCCCATAAATTCATTTAATAACATTGATTCTAGACCCTATAGCACATTTTAGCAAGTTTTATATCTGCTTGTATGAAGTAGGGTTTGTGCCACAATGGGGACTCAATGCTTTTAGTGTTAGACTGACTCGAGTTAACAGTCCTGTGTTGTTGTTTTTGTCTTGTATCCATGTTTGTTAAGTTAGGTGGTTTGGTCAGGAGACTTGTGTCACGTGGTTCGTGTAGGTCAGATGGGTCATCTAGGTCAGACGAGAGTAGGTAACTTAGGGCATTTAGTTCACGTGAGGCTTCTAAGCCAAATAGGTCATCTGGGTTAGTAGGTCATCTAGGTCAGTCGTCGGAAGTAGGTCAGATGGGGTATCTAGGTCACATCGAACTTCTAGGTTAAGTATATCATCTAGGTCAAATAGGTTAATAGGTCATTTATATCAAATATGTCACATATGTTATGTAGGTCACATAACTCGTTGAGGTTTAAAATATGTCATCTAGGTAAAATATATCATCTAGATCAACTAGGTCTATGTCATCTAGGTCAAATTTGTCATATAGGTCAGGCGGGTCATCTAGGTCACATTAATTATTAAAAAAATGTAAGCAACTCACCTGTAGGAGTAGGAAATGTCTACAGGAGGCCAGACGAGAGCTTCAAGCAAGAATTGTTCTACTATCAGACGACATCTCGCGTCCTCAAGTCTACAGGCTAGCAAGGTCAAGGGTAGCAGCAGTAAGGGCAAGGCTGCAGCAGCAAGGTCAAGGCTGCTGCAGCAGCAGATAAAGACCAAAAGCCGAAATATGACGTCATGCTCTAGCTCTCGCGACAGTAAAGGAGAAGCAGGGGGAAATACAAGTTTTCGCTAATTAATAAGTCTAATTAGTCTAATAGGGAAACAGTTTAGAAGATTAGATAGAAGATATATATATATATATATATATATATATATGTATATATATATATGTATATATATGTATATATATATATGTATATATATGTATATATATATATATATATATATGTATATATATATATATATATATATATATATATATATATATTTCCCTACGTGAATATGTTGTTAATTATTTACATTTTTAAATTCATTCTAATTTAATATGTTACCACTTAGAATTCGAACCTTTAATTTTAAATTTGCATTGTATTGTTAACGAAATAAAAATATGTACATCGAAAATCAGCGTCTAATTTAATAGGACACTGCAAGGACCCTTAAGACTAAGTCTACTCCAAGATATAAGGGGAAGCTACTGCAACTATCGTTTGTGCTTCAGACCATAATGCAAGGGACCGTACTCTGTAAAGTTATGAACGAACTGCTTTATTTAACTCTCAAAGCTCTTCTGATTGTTTAAATGTGTATCGTCTTTCATTGTTTTGCAAGATTATTTTTTCATTATTTGTTCAGTATCCGATATAAAGTACATCGTATTTAGGTTAGTAGGTCAAAAGGTCAGGAGGTAACTCGTCCCAAATATCGACATTCAAACTTTGAAGAAACACTTCAAGAAAGCACGACTTCAAATGATGAATCAGATATAATTTTAATTGTTTAGGAAAATAGTTTTCAAGAAAGTTTCCCCAAAAAAGTCCTTACAAGGTCATTTAAAAAAAATTTCCGTGTAAGCATTTTTAAAAATGTGTTAATTAGCTATTATTTATTTTAATTCAATTTTAGTCTAGACTTAGACTGTGATTGAAAGTTCATTTTATTTGAAAAACCTAAAACGTAAATTATATTTTAAAAGCTTACGAACTTAACGTGTGCCTATGTCAAGTTTGTCAATTAATTGGCAACAGCATATATCAAATTTTAAAAAAATTTCCAGTGTTCAAAATATTACGTGGATCATAAACATACTTTTATTTTTTTGTGTCTTGGGAAGAAACTGGTACGTTGATTTTGGTGTCTGGTCGCTGTTCAGTTAACAATGCTAACCTATCTAGTGTGTGTGTTCGTGTGTGATTATGGGGTGTTTATATATATTGTGTATGTGTGTATTCTTGTGGGATTATGGTGTGTCTATATGTTTGTGTGTGTGTTCGTGTGTGATTATGGTGTGTCTATATGTTTGCGTGTGTGTGTTCGTGTGTGATTATAGTGTGTCTATATGTTTGTGTGTGTGTGTTTACGATGAATGGGGTTGTGTATCTTGCTAGCTCTGACATCTGCTGATCTGCGATGACATCTAAACTGACATTTGACATTCGAATCGACTTTAAGATTGACTTTCAAATTCAACATTAAAATAAAATGTACTCAACAATGACAGTAGCAATTGACGTAGAGTGACCTTCGTACAAATGACGTTGCGGCGTGAGTGAACGAGTTAATTATTTTCAACTGCTGTGAGCAGAACACACCACAGCACGACCGTTCTTT